GAGAAACAGCGCAGTTTATATAGCAATTCAGCACTAGAATGATCGTAGTTTTGGCTGGAATGTATAGTATTGAAATACCTTGTGTTACTGTAGAGGAATGTGAAGTTTAAAATTTAACAGCTGAATTCTGAATTTGAAAATGCCGACCACGCGGAGATTTTAGAGCGCTGTTGGCGAATGCCTCGATAGATTGCGCTCTTTTTTGAAATATAGCATGTCTACATATAGTGCAACGTACACTAAGACTGTCGCCTGAATACAAGCAAACGCCACCATTATAGGAAAGGAAAAGGTGAAAATACGAAAAAGTTGTCCAGGTTTTTGTAACTACAGTATGTGGACTGAGCATAATCTAGAATTTGGTGAAATTGTGTACGGTGGTACATTAGGGATGCCGTATATCAAGAATTTGGATCGCGTAGTTAATACTAATAAAGTAAGGAACTGTTTGAGAAGCTTATGTGATTTGATTCCTCGCATCAATCAGTATCTGAACGACGAAATGCGTGATTTGTACAGACAAGTGAATTTGAAGAAGCTTATTAAAAGTGGAGAAATTCTTAACGACGAATCATGGCCCGCTAATTATATTATGCCAATTGACGATCTTCCACCAAATGCTGGCGAACAGGAATTTCAAGACGTATTACTGGGCGCTTTAGGAGATACGGACGTAAGGTTTAGAGATCATGCTGACATTTTGGTGTTACTCTTTCCGTATTTGTATGGTAATGGTTGTGGTTACTATACATTTGCTGCGAAAGATGCCAGTAACGACAAACCAGAATCCGAGGGTGGTTATGCCATAGCGAATAAGTACGAAACATTGGGAAAGTATGCCAAGCATAGATTATTACTTGCAGATAGACGATTCGGTAGAAGCCCAGAATATTTATTTTTTATGATGGATGCGATTGAAAAGAAAAATATACACTCTGCCCAACGGCATGTAGTCCTGGTGAAGCCAGATAAAACCTATCATCGCAGTGACGTTTTCGATGGCGAAAAGTACAACCGGTCGATGGTATCTCTGGTGCCACATACCGTGAGGTCATCGTATGCTTACAAACGACGACATAGGTTAAATCTACAAGCAATGTGTGATCATTTGGGTCCACCACAGCTATTTCTGACGTTTACTTGTAATGATTTCGCGCCAGAATATCGACATTTACTAGATGGTGAACCGCCATGGGTTGATCCAGTTGTATTCAGTATGCATTTTAAGCGTTTGATGCAAGAGCTGCTAAATAAATATGTGAAGAAAGGGGTAAGTTAAGTAACTGTAGATGAGCTGTTGAAGGTATGTAATCATTTCATTATTTAGCCGTTCGCCCGAAAAATTGGTGGTGTTGTTGATTGGAGCTGGACGATGGAGGTTCAAGATAGAGGAAGACCTCATATCCATATGATACTTTGGACGGGGAAGGCAGCGGATGAACTATTGACTATCCATGATCTGGTAGTAGCACAAATTCCCCATCGCAGCCATGATCGGGAGTTATACGAGCTTGTAACAAGGCTTCAAATTCACAGGTGTGGTCCGTACTGTTTGCGAGATGAACAAAAACGGGCCTGCCGTTTTGGATTCCCAAAGGCACCATGTTCAGAGGCACGTTTTGAAGGCGAAGACAAGCGCACATTATACAGGAGATCACCAATCGATGGGATGGTGAATAGTTATAATCCATACTTACTAAAGCTGATGAAGAGTAGTATGGACATACAGATTAATAGTGGTGATCGTGTAGTTGGTTATTTGGCCAAGTACATGAGCAAAGTTGGAGATGATGAGGTGGAAATGGAGTGTCATATGCAGACAACACAAGAACACTTTGCGGCGAGAATCGTGTCTTCCATTGATGCATCCTTCTTTATTCTCGGCCTACATAAGCATCAGAGTAGTCGTGGAGTTATTTTTATCTCTACAACATTCCCCGGTATGGATGAGAGACGTCAGCTTAAAAAAAAAGAAAAGCTCGTTGACTTACCAGAAGACTCCACTGATATCTTTAACAATACCCATGTGAAACGATACCTCGCGCGCCATCACCAACTTGAACACTTAACTATTGGAGAATATTTTACAGTTTACAAAATACTGCAATCTGAAGGAGATGCTGAGGTATTTGATAATGAGAATGGAGAAGTAGTGCTAGGAACTAATGCACGCTCAAGCATCGGGCAAGAAGAACCGCTGATATGGCACACAAAGTTGGAAAAGCATATCCCGAAACAATGCACTGATTACTTTGGTCGTCGGTTTGAATGTCGTTCAATGAGGCGCAATCTCCCTTTTTATCGTACACATCTGTATGCACAGAGTGAAGGTGAACCATTTTTCTATCAGCAGGTGGTTTTGCATTATCCCATGTTGAAGCAGAGGTTTGAGCAATTGCAAGATGAGTATGACAGCTGGAAAGAAATATTCTATGCAATATGTGAAGACGAGTATTTTACCATGACTGCGGAAAACTTGGAAAATATTAGAAGGTATAGTTGATGTATATATGGGTATCTTACTGATATCATTTTTTGATATTAGAATCGATGAAACCATTACCAATGAGGAGGAGCAACGAATTGCAGAAGGAGCTCTTAATGATCCTATTACACATTTGGCAGCAATGGTCGACAGATTGAATGATGAGCAACGACGTGTGTTCAGCTGCCTAACAACGGATATGGCAACGGCTGGAAATCTCTATTTTGTTTTTGGAGCAGCTGGTACCGGAAAGAGCTTTCTTTTAAAAGTTTTATCTGCTTTCTTTGAGCAACAAGGTGTAAAAAGTGTGGTACTTGCTCCGACTGGCGTAGCTTCATATACAGCAGGGGGCCAAACAATTCACAGATTCTTTGGCCTAACATTGAATGAAGATATCTATAACCCAACCCGGTTGGAAGATTTTTTTAAAAGCCATGAAAGAACGGTGTTGATGATTGACGAGGTCTCTATGGTAAGCGCAGCCCTTTTAGAGCGATTATCGCGTTGCCTTTGTGAGGTATTAGGTGTAGGTCATGCTTTTGGTGGCATTCCTGTGATTTGTTTTGGCGATGTTGCGCAACTTCCACCTGTCACAGTAGAGAAAGAAGGTTATTTTTTCCAAAGTTACTTGGCAGCCTATGCAATGTCATTTGTTCTGAATGTGCACCAGCGAGTGGATCATGATGATCGAGAGTTTTTGGAATTTCTATCGAAATTGCGTTTGATGGAGACAGATGCGTCAGTGATAAAATTTATCAATGATCGCAAGAGACTAGATTCAGAATTAGATCACACCTATCTCCGTCTGTTTCCTACAAGGGCTGAAGTTCGGCAATATAATGATTTATGCAGTAACTCGATTGTAGGAGAGGCTCGCTGCTATCGTAGCATTGATGTCGGTCCTCAGTCGATACTACGTGAAACAGGAAGAGCAAAACAGATGGTGTTGAAGAAGGGTGTTCCTGTACTACTACTGCAGAATTTGGATGTAGAAAATGGTTGGGTAAATGGTACTCACTGCATTATCGTAAACGTTGAGGAAGAACAATCTGTAGTTGTTAGAAGAATTGCTGACGGCCAGCATAGGACAATAGAGTATACCACAACGGAAGTCTATCGAACATCTTGCTCTCGCACGCAGCTTCCTCTTGCCGTAGCATTTGCTGCAACTATCCATAAGGTACAGAGCTTGACTTTGGATCATGGCGTGGTCATAAGTTTGAAGCGGCCATTTAAGTCGCAAGGGCAATTCTATGTTGCATGTTCACGCGTAAGGGATGGTAGACAAATCTTCTTTACAAGAACAACTGCAGATGAATTGTCAATAGGATTTGATACTTTGGCGTTAGACTTTGTCAATGACCTAAAGCAATATTAATGGTTTCTTCAGTTTGTCTTTTTAAGCCATAGAAGCATATCCTCTTTTTCTGTTACGCGTGGCTCTTACCTTAGAGACAAATAAAGCGTTAAAATAGATTTAACCTAGGGACGAGCGGGATTTCATTTTCATAATATACCAAAGTCTGCTTTGTACAGCCATTTAGCTTAGGGAGAAGTGGAGGTTTAAATTAGATTTAGCCCAGGGACGAGCTGGATATCATTCGGCACATTTAGCCCAGGGACGAGCTGGATTTCACTCGCCGCATTTAGCCCAGGGACGAGCTGAGGCTGGATTTCAATGTCATGGTACTAAAGTGTCGTTTGCATAATTTTTTTTTTGCTTTGCTGCTTTTCTTCCTAAAATGCTGTCTGCTACTCTAACTGATGCGATATTAACCGAAAAGCCTGTAGTAAGATTTACTGCTGACAAAAAGCTTAATACTACACTTACCATCAAAGATGATGGTGTCTTCTATACTGCTATTATTAAACATGCAAACATAATTTATCGTCTGATATCATTAGATATTAATGACCGAATTAGATTAAGTGGTAATAAAGGAGAATCACGTTTAAAATACTGTAACTGAAATTACTATCAATTTAGGTTTTATGAGCATTCGGCCATATGAAAACAAAAACGGATATCCAGCAGTGGCGAAACGCATTTATTGTGATAGCATTATTTATCAAGGAAATACTTACAATGCGTCAGATGATGAAAGCTGTTTCTTGAAGTATAAATTACTGAAGCACGTAATAAATAATCATGCCGTATTGTCAGCAAGTGACAAATATGCAAAAGGTCTGGCCTCCTTGGAGGCTTGTAAACAAGAACTGAAGAACTTGCATGACCGTACGATTGGAACTGAAATTCCATTTGAAGCAGTACAATTTGCTTTTAAAACGGTCCCAAACAGCTTACAAGAAAGACAAGCAAAACGTAAGCGTTACAATAGCGAATGTCTTGCAAACCTTGTGGCAAGCAATGATTTGGAAGACGTCACGGACGTTGCCGGCATCATACAAGCAGAACTAAATGAAGAAATGGAAGCAGAATTCTTGGATGCCAATGGCAGGACCCCAACAAACGATATGAATAATTTAAGCATTTAATTTTTTTATATATTATTTTATTTATTTTTATTTGTATTTATTCATTTTTACTTATATTTATTTATATTTATTTATTCATTTTTCTATTATATAAATATGCTATTCACTCATAATAATCTTTTAATTGTGGAACAAAATGCAATGCGAGAAAATTGTTATTTTGATGAAGATAAAGACAGCTTTTGGGATTTTTCGATGAGGAGTGGTAAAATGCTAAAGCATACTATGTGTAAGTTGAAATATATCAATGGGATTAACCAAAATTTTTAGGACTGCTTCCTTGTGCTGATAATGAGCCTAATGAAATTGCCAAAAAGTACAGAATCTCTTTGTTGCATTTTGTGGAAAATGAAGAGGAAAATCTGCCGTTAATGCTGAAGGAGGAAGTACACTAGGTGAAAATTTATGGACAACCTTTTCGAAAAACACACATAATGGAGCGTATATCGTTAAGGGAATGCCTCCTCAGGATATTATCAATATGTTTGAATGGCAACAATGGACGGAGTATTTCTTCAAAATTTGGCGAACCAATCGCCGAAAATGAACGAATAATGTCTACATTAGTGGTCGGAATCTGAACGGTCCAAACTGCAATTTTGGACAACATTCCGGACTCTCTTAATTCACGCTGGAATGATAGTTGTAATTAAGATGCATACCAATCTCAATTGTAGCCATCCACGTTCCAGTAATAAATAATATATAATGGGCGTTGTTGCCTTTCGTTTATACATTCTTTTTTTTAATCATTTTCTCCCTATATCCTACGAAAATTTTCTTACGTATGCCTCGTGTTTTACCTGAAGATACACAGAATAATATCAAGTCTGCTCTGATGAATAATAGAACACCAGAGGATATTGCTAGTGAACTTGGTGTACATCCCAGGACAGTTAGGAGGTATAAAAAGAAGTTGTTTGGACCAAAGGCACCTACCGCACGTA